CTTCTGTGCCTGATGACCCATGCTCCAAGACCAACTCACTCCTGGCAGCCACTACCACCAGGGTTTTCACCAAAGCTTCTCCATATCATCATCCTAAAGAGAGTTCCTAGCTCAGTCTTAAAGGGGCTGCTAAGAATTGAGGATACTTCCTGTGGGCCAGAGCAGCAGCTGGGCACACAGAATGGATATAGGTGATGGTCTAATGGACGGTTTTATTTTAGTGGCTATTTATTTTAATGTACTTCCAAAAAAATACAGAGCTAGCACCTGTGATTTCACAGATATAATTGCTCAGGACATGTTGAGGTTTAAAAAATTGATTTTAGTTGATTCTTATTTTTTGAGATGGGGTCTCACTCTGTTGTCCAGTCTGGAGTACAGTGGCATGATCACAGCCTACTGTAACCTTCAACTTCTTGGCTCAGTGATCCCCCTGCCTCAGTCTCCTGAGTAGCTGGGACTACAGGAGTGTGCCACCATATCTGGCTACTTCTAAATTTTTTTGTAGAGACAGCGTCTTGCTATGTTGCCCAGGCTGGTCTCCAACTCCTGGACTCGAGCAATCCTCCAGCCTTGGCCTTGCAAAGTGCTGGGATTACAGGTGTGAGCCACTGCACCTGGTCTGATTTTCTGTTTTAATAGCACAGGCAAAATCAAACTCTTGATTCTCCCTGTCCCCAAAGTGCTCCTCTCCCAGGTTCCCCAACTCAGTATATGGGACCGCTGTTGTTCAAACCAAGACCTTGGAGTATTCCTTGACTCTTCTTCCTCTGTCACACAGCCTATATCCAATCCGTCAGCAAATCATATAAGCTCTTCCTCCAAAGCACAGCCGGGATCTGATATTTTTCCGCATTCCTCTGTCATCATCCTGGTCAAACCACTGTCCCACACCTGAAGATTCTGGAAGCTGCTAAGCAAGTCCCAGACTTCTACTCCTGCCAAATTCAACAGAAGAATCTGTTTCCAATCATAAATCAGATCATATTAAGTCCCTATTCAGAACCACCTGGAAGCTTCACAGTACACTTAAGAGACCAAAAAAGCCAGGCTCGGTGGCTCAGCCTGTAATCCCACAGCTTTGGGAGGCTGAGGTGAGCGAACTGCCTGAGCCCGCGGGTTCGAGACCCACCTGAGCAGCGAGACATCATCTCTACAATAAATAAAAAAATCAGCCGGGCATGGTAGCATACACCTGTAGTTCCGGCTACTTGGAAGGCTGAGGCGGAAGGATCACCGGAGCCCAGCAGGTCGAAGCTGCAGTGGCCAGAAGCGGCCACTGCACTCCAGTCTGGGCAACTGAGTGAGACTTCAACTCAAAAAAAAAAAAAAAAAGGAAAAAAAAGAACTTTAAAGGTACCACATTGCCTGGGCATGAGAGTACACCGAGCGCTGCACCAGTGGGCCCCAGCACTCTATCAGCAAATCTCCAGCCCTTCCTGCAAGCCCCAGCTGATCCTGACAAATTGGGCCACTCTGCTGCCCTTCAACAGAGATCTGTAGTGCCAATTGTTAACTCGTGAAGGGCCCCACGAACACCTTACACATACATATTTAAACACATGTTCAGCCGGGCTCGGTGGCTCAGCCTGTAATCCTGCGCCTTTGGGGGGCTGAGGTGAGTGGATTGCCTGAGCCCATGGGTTCGAGACCCACCTGGGCAACTTGGCGAGACCTCATCTCTACAATAAATCAAAAAATCAGCCGGGCGTGGCAGCGCATGCCTGTAATTCCGGCTACTTGGAAGGCTGAGGCGGAAGGATCGCCGGAGCCCCGCAGGTCGAGGCTGCGGTGGCTGGGAGCGGCCACTGCACTCCAGTCTGGGTGACAGAGTGAGACTCCAACTCAAAAAATAAAAAAATAAAAATAAACGCATGTCCTCCTGGAATGTCCCTCCACTCCTATGCCTGGTAAACTACTATTGCCCTTGAAAGCCTCTAAAGTTCTCTGTTGCCTGCCCAAAGCTCCTGATACAAGTCCACGCTGACACAAGAGTGCTTTCCACATTGTGCTGGTGGTATATGTGCCTCCTCCCAAGTTGGACTGCAAACGCAGTGAGGGTGGGCACCATGCCTCATTCATCTTCCCACCCTCAGGCTCACTGGCCCCTGGCTGACAGCCCTCACAGCTATCTGCTGAATGCAGGTATTTGAGCTGCTCTCACCAGACTTGAGACAGTGTAGGCCAGGTCAGTAAGCCCTGTACACAGCCTAGGAATTGGGAGACCCTGTGAAGAGGGATGTTCTGATCATTATGATGGTGGGAGGGGCCTTGTGTGGACACCCTTGCCATCCCCTTGGCTTGCATCAAGATGCAATGTGTTTAAAGCTGACTATTCAGCCGGGCTCAGTGGTTCAGCCTGTAATCCCGCGCCTTTGGGAGGCTGAGGTGAGTGGATTGCCTGAGCCCGCGGGTTCAAGACCCGCCTGGGCAGGCGAGATATCATCTTTACAATAAATCAAAAAATTAGCCGGGTGTGATAGCGCGCGCCTGTAATTCCGGTTACTCTGGAAGGCTGAGGCGGAAGGATCGCCGGAGCCCAGCAGTCGAGGCGGCGGTGGCCGGGAGCGGCCACTGTACTCCAGTATGAGTGACAGAGTGAGACTCCAATTAAAAAAAAAAAAAAGAGGTCCCCACATTAGCCAGGTGCGGTGGCTCAAGCCTGTAATCCCAGCACTTTGCGAGGCAGAGGTGACAGGATTGCCTAAACCCTGGGGTTCGAGACCAGACTGGGCAACTTGGAGACACCTCGTCTCTACAATAAAAAAAAAAAAATTAGGCTGGGCTCAGTGGCACAGCCTGTAATCCTGCGCTTTGGGAGGCCCAGGTGAGTGAATTGCCTGAGCCTATGCGTTTGACACTCGCCTGGGCAACTTGGCAAACCCTCATCACTACAATAAATCAAAAAAAATTAGCCAGGCATGATAGTGCACGCCTGTAGTTCCAGCTACTTGGAAGGCTGAGGCAGAAGGATCATCAGAGCCCAGCAGGTCGAGGCTGCGGTGGCCAGGAGCGTGCCGCTGCACTTCAGTCTGGGCGACAGAGTGAGACTCCAACTCAAAAAAAAAAAAAAAAAATTAGCCGGGTGTGGCAACACATACCTGTACTTCCAGCTACTTGGAAGGCTGAGACAGAAGGATTGCCTGAGTCCAGCAGGTCAAGGCTGCGGTGGCTGTGAGCATGACACTCATTCCAGCCTGGGTGACAGAGTGAGACTTCAACTCAAAAAAAAAAAAAAAAAAAAAGAGGCTGCCACCACCACCTGGAGAAATACTTTCTGGGGCTATTGAAGTGGCCTTCTGGCTAACCCGAGTCCCTTTGGTTCCATCACACCTAGGAGGGAGGGAAGCTGGCAGCCACCTGCCCTGCATGACCCCAGTGGCCACTCCCTTCTCAGCAAGCTAACTAAGCCTGGGGTATCATTTACCACTTTTCTGCTACTCTCTCTCCCAATGCCACAATCCAGCCAATGTCTCCCAAATGCTTGCTACAATGGGGACATTTACACCAAGGCCCTGCCCTCCGGGAGTTTACAAAGCAGAGGACCAGGCCTGTCTAATCAAGTCAAAAAACCAACTCAATGACAAGGCAAACCTGCCCGGCAGTAATCAAATAAAGTGAAAATCAAAGGTGTGGAGGGGAAGAATATGACCTTCACTGGGGAGACTTAGGAAATGCTCTCCTGGTACAGCAACTTCAAAACTCTGCTTCCAGGTTATCCCAGGGCCAAAGTCTCCTCACCTCTATAAGGCCAACCGCTAGCTAGCACTAGACCTGGCTGCACACGCTTTACTCATCATTTCACAAATATTTATGGAGTGCCCAGCACATGGTGATGTTAGGTGCTGAAGACACAATGGTAAGCAAGAGATCACAAGTCCCTGTCTACTAGTTTACTTTCTAGCATAGCAGACAGAAAGATTCACAGGTAATAGCAATAGTGCCATTGGACTAGACCTAGGAGACTGGCCTACACTGGCAGGTCAGAGCAGGCCAAGGTGTAAACATGTGTGTGCATCTATGTACATTCATATTAGGAAGATGCAGGGGCTGGAAGACAGTGCCAAATCCATGAGGGTTCAGATTAGGGTTAGGGGTGAGTCTCAAGACAATATCCCTATTCCTTGTTCTCACCTCAGTTAGAGAGTCATGACCCCAACCCAGTGGCCACTACTTGTCATTCCTTTCATATAGCCCCGATATTAAGGAGGTTTCTAAAATCAGACTGCCTGATTTTAATCCTGCTTCTGCAACTTACCAACGGTGTGGCCTTGGGCACATGATCACCTCTGTGCCTCAGTTTGTAAAATAGGAATAACGACAGTATGTATCTCGAGGGGTGTTGGGAAAATTACATTTACAAATGTAAAGCAAACAGCACAATGCCTAGGATTCAGCAAGCGGCACACAAGTGGATACTATTATTATTATTATCATCATCGTTGCACGACCGGTCGGTCACTGGTGGGCTCGCGACCCGGGCTAGCTCAGCTGCCGCGCGCCCCATTCCCTTCCGGCTCCAGAACATCCCATGCTGGACGTCGGCGACCCGCAGCCCGCAGCCCCGGCGCCCTTGA